TTTGGGGCCTGAGAGTTCCTGTATTGTGCAGGTAGCATGTTTCGGACCCAAGTGAGACTAGGCCCTGCTACAAATTCGCAGGGAGCCTTTTCTCCACCCAGAGCCAAGGTGGAAACAGATGCTCTTCCCCGTTGTCTCTGTGTTCCACTGAGCAGATTTTTTTCTAGTCTGTCTTTTCACAAAGGATGTAGAATTCAAACCTCAGCCAGAAGTATCAGGAAGGGCTTTTTCCTAAGGCATCAGTTTAGGAGATTTCTCATCCTTCTGCAGTCCCTTACTTGCTTGGATAATGAGCCACGTGTTCTTCAAAATGCAGCCTTTTAGGCAGCATTCCGAGGTCTTTTGTAACGAGGATGTCTTCAGGTAAGCTAGCGGGCCACCTTGCCAGGACCCTGAGCTTTGCTCTCTCCCCTACCGCCAAAATCTTAACCTGAAAATAACAAAGTCTTCCCACAAGTCTCTGGGCTCCAGTGACTCAGCCCCGGCACGGAGCTCACTGGAACCTCCAGGTCCTCTTCTCTGCCCTTTTCTCATCCAACTCTGCCCCTTTGCCCTTCCTGTCCTAGGTGGCCTGGACCCCAGAGTGGTCACGTCCGCCACCATAGCTAGTACCCCAGAGGCCTTGTTCCTTGGTCCTTTAGCCCTGCCACCAACCCTGCATCTATCCAACTATGCAAGATTTTTGCAGCTGGCCTTCTCAGTGCTACCAGAAAAGATAACTGACCCTGGTGCCATTACAGACACTGAATTTGACGGGGTGGACCCTCGGCACCGCTCAGCAATGCTTTTTTACAGCCTGCTCAGCTCTCTCTTCAATAACCCGCCAATGGCGCTCCAACAGTGCCCGGCTCATAGCAAGCACACCACACGATCACATGTTGATTACTGCCATCACCCTGTCTTCACTCCCGGTCTCAGCTCAGGATGCTATTATAAACTGAGAGCTGCCATCCTCAGCCTCCTGTCCTCACCTGCAGACTCATCTCTGTCCATTCTCAATCCCTCCCTTTCTTTCAGAGGCCCCTCTCCTGTTTGAGGATTTTCCTGCTTGGGGTTTTCAGAGCCCATCTGAGACCTGAGCACGAGGGCCCTGGCCTGGCCTCCTGCTCCAGGACTCATGCTGTCAAGGGAGGCTATCCAGCCCCTCCGGGGTATCTTTCCCTGAGCTGAGGAGTCAGTGGAGCCATGGGGGGTGTTGCTTGGGGTCCCATTCTCCAGGTGATGGGGGCCCAGGATTCCACATCCAGATGACCCGAAGCCATTTCCAAATGGACATGGGCCTATTTTCAGGTCCAAGACCCAAAGGCAGACTGTGCCACGGGGCTGCCCACCCTCAGGTCTGCAGGGAGGCCAAGCGATGGCTGTCTGGGAATGCAGGTGGAGCTTGGATCAGGCTGGGCAAGGAAGAGAGGCGCCTTGAGGTGCAAGATGGGGTCAGTGGCAAGAGGAGAGAGGGACAAGGCGGGGGCTGGCTGCAGCTCCCTCTGGGGCAGAACCCTGAGGCCCCTGAGGATTTTAAATTCCAAACAGTTACAGCAGGACGAGCGTGGCAGGAGGAGGATGGGCACTTTCCTTGTCACAGTCTATTGGGTGAATTTGCCCTTTTATTTACAATTTTTAGACACGCGATGTGTGAGCCTCGCCTGATGCTTGCCCCATGCCGCCCAAACTAGGCATGGGCCTGACCTGCCAGGTCTCCTGTACTAAGAGAAAAATACAACAGCCTCGAATCACGAGGGTCTGACTTAGCCTGTTGCAGTTTTGACTCAGTTTCCAGTGTTCAGTCAATGACGTGAGATGCTCAACTCTTTACCACAAAACAGGCTTGTGTTAGAAGATGTTGCCCCACTGGAGGCTGATGCATGGGTTCTGAACCCACTGAGGGCAGGCGAGGCTGAGCCATGATGGCCGGCAGGTCAGGTGTCTTCAAAGCATTTTCAGCTTAGGATGGACTTACGGGGACCCTGCCTGCAGGAGTAGAAGAGCCAGCTGTACCACGTTTCGCCTTGGGTCTCCCACACCAGCTCCTCGGACGTACCTCACTTCGTGTGCTGGCCAGGTGACTGTGGCAGCTACCAGCCAAGAGCTCTGAGCCTTCTGAGGTCTGTAACACCTCCTGGAACAACAGCAGGTCTGCACCCTCAACTCGCGTCAGCATCCCTTCTGTGGCCAGAGCTCCCTCTCATCCCAGCTGCACCTCTGTGGCCAGTGTGTCCTGGCAGCTCCTGCCCTTGGCCCGTGATGCCTCTCTTGTCTCCTGTTCCAGAGCTTCTGTGATGCTCAGGGTGGGGTGTCTGGGGGGGCTCTCTCAGAACTCCTGCTTGCTCAGCCTGTAAATATAGGGGGCTTTACTGAACCCCTGTGGGGCAACGCTTGACCACCGGCGGTTGGGAGCTGATGGAAAAATGCTTCTCCCTCCTTCCCAAAGATGAACAGTCTGGCCGACTGCACATCACAGCCCAGGACCGGCTGTCCCTCCTTCCCTGTCCCAACTCCAGCCCCCAGGTCCGTCACTCCTACCTCCTGGAATCACACTCCCAAACCCCTGCTGTGCCTACGCCCTTGTATCGCACTCTGCTTTTGGACCTGGGCTGACAGCTGGCACTTAAATTCCTCAAACAGTAATCAGGTGCCAACTTACTTCCCTGAAGAGCAAAAGCCTCGTCCGGAGGACTTTTCTCCAGCCTCTCTGCTCTCGGCCCCTTCTCCCTTTTCTTCCTGGACTCCATTGCTCCTGCCATTTCCAACCTCTTTCTACCTGGCCTCACGCCCTCTGGTGACTTCAGCTCCTCCCTACGTGCTAATGACCCCAAGATTTTATCTCATAAAACATAAAGCAAGAATATCAAGCCAACTTCGGTAGCTTTTGACTGGGTCTGCTTGGTCAAGGTCACTTCCATCAAATCAGTCATCCAAGCCTGAAAGCTGGCCAAGGGGAGCCAGAGGAGGGTCCGTGCCCGGCTATTTTGTTGGTCTCTCACCGCTTATTTCAATAACCTGGTTGAGTCATCTCTGTCTGGAGCACGTCTTGGGAGAAAGTGTTGGAGGGCAGAGGGTCTGCTGAAAGGTGTGGATGAGGCTGGCAGAGTCGGAAGACCTCAGGCTATGAGATGGGCCCGAACTCCCCACCTGCTGCCTCCATCGCAGCCTGAGCTGCACCTCCCCATCTGTCCTGCAGCCCCAGGTCCCGCCCACTCAACAGATGCTCTCAGACCTTGTGATCTTCTTAGTGGACTTCATGTCCTTCTTGAATTTTTTAAAGAATTATTTTTACAAAAGTAAAACGTGTTCACTGAAGAATTAAGAAAACAGGTGAGCAAAAGGAAACAAGAATCTCTCATTTTCCACTCAGAAGAGGACACACATTTTTCCTCATTCTTGGTGTCACCACATTGCAATGAGGTCTTCGTCTTTCTTTTCCCCTGAAACCATAAAGTGAATTTCTTTCCATGAGCTAAAACCCCTTACTTTTGGTAATATACGCACATGTATTCATCCCAACCAACCATTGTTTCTGTGGACCTTTCAGTAGAATGTTCATCAGCATCCATGTTTGTTTCTTTGAATGAGGTTCTAAAATTGCAATCACTAGGTGAAAGAAGGTGCAAACTTTGAAGATTTTATTTATGTGTGGTTAAGTAACTGAAAGTTTCTATCAGTTGACACTCAGTTGCTGTACGATAGTGTTTATTTCCTCACATTTGCTTTTACCAAACAAAGCATTGCACTTCTCTTCTTAGAGAACATCCTGTCATGTTTCTGGGCGTTTCTTTTGTATTCGCCTGTCCTTGTCTCTGCCTGCTTTACTTATGGGCTGCTCAGCTCTGAAAGCCCTGCTACCTGTGAAGATCAGCCCCCGTGAAACCCACGCAAATGCTTTCCCCACTCACTTGTCTTAATTTTATTGTATTCTGAAGCACCAAGGTCCCCCCTTCCCCTCCAAACTGGGGCAGACACTGCCTTCGATTTTTTTCTTCTGAATTAAAATCTTCCTGAGAAAGGCACACCTCTTAAATTCAATGAGTTTGGGTAAGTACGTACCGCTATGTGATCTACATCCCAGACAGAAAGTGTGTTATGCCCATTGCCCAGGAAGGTTCTCGTGCCCTTCCCAGCCCCTCTCTGTAGGCCCCCAACCTGGAGAGAACCGTTCTGATCTCTACCCCGTAGATCACGTGGCTGCCTCCTGAATTTATTAACTGTCATACACTGTAAACCCTTTTGTATCTGACATCTTTTATGATGTTTTTGACATTCAACCATCTATGACAGTTCATTCTTTTTTATTGCTAATATTCCCTTGTATTTTTGCAATTGGGGTTTATCTGTTTTCCCGCTAATTGCACCCTAAATTTTAATTGCAACATAGCTAAATTCTCAATATTTCCCTTTACGACTGTTGATGGCATTCTTTAAATTCCACAACCCTACAGAGATGTCCACTGAGTTTTTCCTTAGTGCTTTTTTTAAACTTAAATCTTTACTCCATTTGATGAGTAAAAATTCCAACTTTAACACGTCTTCTCTTCAAATGATTAGCAGGTACTCTACCATACTGCGTTCTCGCTGATTTGAAAAGCCGCTTTCATTATATCTGAAATCCCTACAAGGGGTGGTATGAAACATAGTCGATAGTTGGTAAGGCACGGGCACTGATCAGCCTGCGAAGCCGCCCATTAAGGACAGACAGCTGGAGCATGCTGATCACGCACACTGGCTGGGTACCAGCCTGGAGTCGGGACATTGGCTGGGGGCTGTTTCTTTACTTTCTATCATTCTGCATTGATCTGGACCAGTCTCACGTTACTTTCATTTCGAAGCCCAGATAACATGGTTTTATTTTCTGGGAGCAGTTTCTCCCACATTACTCTTCTTTTTGACTGCTCTCAAAATCTTTATTCTTCCAGATGAACTATTTAATGGTTTTCTCAATTCTCAGGAAGTTCTGCTGGAACTTAGTTACATTTAGGTGCTTAAAATGTTCTCTTGCTAATCGAGAATTTTTTGTATTTTCTAACACATATGAAGTGCTTAGCACAATGCTCACCACATACTGATAATGCTACAATTATTTAATTACTGATTGAATGCTGTTAGTAATCTGAAAGTTACTGTTTTTTGTAGATTTTATAATCGGCCAGCTTGCCAATCACGGCCAATCTAGGAGTTCTACCCATCTATTGGATCTCCCAATCCTAGACTTTAAAATTTGAGCCTTTGGGGCTGGTTTCTTTCTTTCAACTGTGAGAACATTGAGATTCCTTCACTTTGAGTTTGGAACTCTGTCAAACGCCTATATGTGAAGTCCCAGGGGGCTGCTCCCACGCATTTGGGTTGTCACTCCACCTTTCTCCTTACACCCAGCTCACAGCATAGGGTGTTCGCTTTTACTGCACAGAACTCTATCGTATTGAATTCCTCTACACCGCCTGTGCAGTGGTCTCCTTCAGCCAGCCCCTCCGACACATAATGGTACACACAGCCACCCAGGCCAAGTTTCTCCTTTCCAGACATGGCAAGTGAGGTTCCTGCACCATCCACCCCACGTCTGTGTGGTACCCACTCTCCTGGAGTGCCTGGCGGGACTCCACGTGAGGTCTAAACGGCATGCAGCGATGCGGCTACTCACTCCTTCTCATGGAAATCTCCCTTTTAAAATTGCCTCTGCCAAGGATTAGATCTCAGAACTTTCACCTGACTTTTTGCTCAGGCCCCTCTGTACATGTAAAATTAACTTTAATAGGTTTATAGGCAGGTTTTAACATTTTCTCGTGATTGCCTGTTTTGGATAATCCTGTCAATCTTACCATCTAGATGTTAGCTAGCTGCAGACCCTGTTTCATTCTACAGGAAAACTTGATGGCGCACCGTTTCCATCAGCAGCTAAGTCTCCAAAAGCCCGTAATCGCTCTGCTTCTCTTCAGCTACATCTTGTTTTAAAATTCTGTAATTCACCATTCCTTTCCTCCAACGCTCAGCCATCTCAGAGAAAGCGTTTCTTACAAAGACCAAAGTTTTCCAACTATTAGTTATTGAGACATCTAACGTAAAATTGGCATTTTTATGTTGCCAACTGTATTCTCATCCACATAACTGCAATACCCCCCCCGCCCAGGATGCCGTGAGGACGGGTCCCGGCTCAGCTCCGGGGGAACGGCCTACAATCCAGGCGGACGGCGTCCCCGCCCGGCCCGGCGCGCGCTGTCGAAGGCGCTTTCTCCCCGGCCGCCTTGTGCACCCAACGTGAAAAGTTGTCACACTCCTGTTGGAAAGAAATGGAAACCACCGCCAGGAGGTGGCCGCTGAAGACCGCCGCCCACACCGCTCGGCTGCGGCCGCCAAAGGCGCTCCCGGGGATGCAGGGCCCGACCTTAGCTCAACGAGCCCCCGCAAGCCCCGCCGCCTTACAACAACGCCCACCCGGCCAGTGCGCCGCTCCCGCCCCTCCACGTCTGCCCGGCCCGGGACTCGAGACCCTGGCGGCGGCCCGGACGATCTCCGCCTGCGCAGGGAAGCGGAGGGCGCGTCCCACGACCCTCGGCTGCCGTTGCGGGCCTGGCCGGCCTGCGCCCCGCACCCCCTCGGCCGCGTTCCCGCCGCGGGGCAGGGCGAGGCCCGCCGCGCCTGCGCACTCGGTGACCAGGCCGCCCTGCGCCTCCGTGCGCACGCAGTACCACGTGACCCACTGCCAGTACCCAAGATGGAGGCCGCGGCGAGGCCTGGCCGGCTCTCCGCCTCAGCCTGCACCCCATTGTGTGCCCTGTAAGCTCGAATTAGGCTCGCAGACACGCGGTGCTGACCGCTAGGCAGCCATGCAGGCTACTGAGTGGGGCTGGATACGGCCGGGGCCAGTGTTTACGTTCACTACTGGCCCCGCGTCCCTGCGCTTCCCCAACCGCGAAGCGAAGCACCCAGCGGCTGGCGCCTGGAGCGTCCGTCGGTACGCCCGCCCCCTGGAATTGGCAGCTCCGAGAGCCAATGAGGTCCAGGACGTGTGCGGGGAGGCGGGCATGGGTGGAGCCTCTCTGTCGCTCATAGGGCGTCCGGCCCCGCGGTTGGGCAGCTCCTGGGCGAGGGGTGGGAGCAGACGGGCTGTGCGCAGGCCCCAGCGGACCAATGGATGGCCGGCCAGGCGCCCGGGGCGGGCGGGCGGGAGGCGGGGCCGAGCCGTAATTGACGAGCTCTTCATTAGAAACCAGGCGGGGGGGCGGGGCCCGCAAGGGGAGGTGACGCAAGGCTACCGCAGCCAATGGCTGGAGAGCCGCCGGCGGGCGGGGCGGGGCCGGGTCGGCTGACGGGCGTGCGGGGTGGCCTATTGCCGCCCGGCTCTGCCCTGGAGGGGGGAGAAGCATCATGGTTCAACGTGGGTCAATTTTTTGTGAATGAGGAGGGGAGGTTGTGGGGCCGCCGCCGCGGAGCACCGTCCCCGCCGCCGCCCGAGCCCGAGCCCGAGCCCGAGCCCGCGCGCCCGCCCGCGCCGCCGCCGCCGCCGCCCGAGCAGCCTCCCAGCCTGGGCCCCCGGCGGCGCTGCGGCCGCGTCCCGGCTGTCGCCGCCCGAGCCCGAGCCCGCTCGCCGGCGGGTGGCGGCGCAGGCTGAGGAGATGCGGCGCGGAGCGCCCGAGCAGGGCTAGAGCCGGCCGCCGCCGCCCGCCGCGGTAAGCGCAGCCCGGGCCCGGCGCCCGCGGGCCATTGTCCGCCGCCCGTCCCGCGCCCCGCGCCGCCCGCAGGCCTCGGAGCCCGCGGCAGGTGGACGCCGCCGGCCCACACCCGCCCCGCGCGCGGCCGTGGGAGGCGGGGGCCAGCGCGGGCCGCGCGCCGTGGGACCCGGCGGTCCCCAGGGCCGCCCGGCCCCTTCTGGACCTTTCCAGCCGCGCCGCGAGGCGGCCTCGCTCTCCCGGGCGGGGGCGCGGGGGTGGGCAGGGCCGGCAGCGGCGCCGTCGTCCGGTGCGGGGCCCGCGCCCCCCAAGCAGGTGGGCTCCGGGGCGCCGGGAGTGAGGGCGGGGGCGGGCGGGCGCCGGGGCCGGGCGGGCGCCGTTTATGTAACTTTGTCAAATGCTGTGAGTTTGCAGAAAAACCTCCCCGCCGGGGTCCGCGGCTCCGCGCGTGTCGTAGCCGCCTTGAGCCCCCGGGGTTCGCGGGCGGGCGGGGGGGCTGCCTGGGACCCCCTGGGCTCAGCCCGCGGGGCGTCCACAGGCCGAGACGGGGCCCGGTGCGGCTCGGGGGTGGGATCCGCGTTTCTCGGCGTTGCGAAAACACACCACGGAATCATAAGCAAATTATCTTGTATTTACATTGAGCGTTGAATTATTTGACACTGTTCTAGCAGGAGACCGTGTGTATCAGTCGGAAAGGCCGGGGGTGGGACCCAGTGTACTCATTTAATGCACATCAAAAATTTGTAATAACTTGAGGCAGCTGATATGAGTGTTTTCTTTATTGCATGTTGTAAATTGACCTGCTGTGACACAATTTTCAAATAAAACGTTGCAGAAATTAAACAAGTTATTTTAAAACTAATGACTTTCTTAACTAAATCCTAATTGCATGACTGTGGAGACCTACCTAATTGCTTGCTGAGAGCAGTTCTGCCTGCCCTCCGTGAGGGAGGAAAGGGCCTGTGTAGCCACTTTGCTGCCCCGTTTTTCTCTATTCAGGCTTTTCTGTTTATTCCCACAAATCACCGAAGCAGTTCAGGCCTGGGAGTAAACCTGTAAACAGCCCTGGCTCAGCGCCAGCCCAGCAGGACGGGGGGCGGGGGGGGGGGGATACTGGCAGGTTTGCACCTTGACCTGGTTTCACTTTTTCTTTTGTAATATGATCGTGGTTGCCTGGAGTTTTAATTGCTTCTGATAATTCTATGCATTATTTTCGGGACCGTCCAAAGAAGGCGGGTGTGGTGGTTTCAGGCCCAGCCAGGGAAGGTGGTGGTGGTGGTGGCAGCGGCGGCTGGGGAGAGGGAGGGAGGAAGGGAGGGAGATAGAGTTAAGGAAACTCAGCTGCTTGTACACAAATATACACTAAAGCAGTTACAAAGCAACAAAAGTTATTGCAGAATTTTGCAGTAACTATGGCAACACAATTACTCTATTATAATTGGAAATGCGAAATGCCACCCAGTTAGAAGTTTCATCAGAAAGGAGTTTTGGATATCAAAAATATGTGAGATGTAATTTTTTTTCAGGTAGCTCGTGTGAATTCTAAAATCTGTCTTCAATTACCTATTTTTAAGACTGATAGCGCTTTCCCAGATAGTCTACTCTGTGGGATCCGTGGCATCTTTCCCCAGAAGAACTCACATTTGTGTGGGAGGGAAGTATTTTCATGTCTTAAAAACACACCCCGACACATTGTAAGACTTGTATAGCTTTCTGTGTTCTGGGCTTTGATTTTAGAGATCAAATCCCGTCCTAAAGAGAGCAGTAATCTATTAGAAAAGAAGCCGCTGTACTCAGCAGGCAGATGTAACGCTGCCCTCTTTAGGGTTCTTTCTCCCGCAAGGAGAGCTGGCAGCAGGCGTGCCCCCGGGGGAGCCCTGGGCTAAGAGGCGGGACTGAGGGAAGATGACTGGACAGCACATAGGCCTGGAAGGCCTAGGGACAAGGACAGATGTGGCTTCAGAGCCCTGCACCAGAGAGAATGTTCTGTGGTCAGCAGCTTCATAGCAATGCAAAGTAAAAATCCCCAAATGCCATGTTCTCAGAGGCTTTGGGGGCTGTTGCTGTAGCGAGATGGGCAGAACAGCCTGGCACGCGGGCCACGTGCGGCCCAGGCAGCCCATCTGGACTCTATCTGGCCAGAGACCTGCTTGAGAAGAAGGGTGCCCTGTGGATGTTTACCAGGAGGACTCCAGTGCTGGAAGTTTCCACACATTGTGGGGTTGCTGCAGTGTAATTTCCTTATAACTCTTTCCTTTAACTACTGCATATTTATGCCCAGTAATCGACTTCCATTCTCCAGCTTCATTGTGAGGTTTCAATGCAGCGTGAATGGCTTTGAATTCCAATCCTTTGATGTTGGGGGTGGCACCAAAGGAAAGGCGACTTTGTGCTGTCTTAATTGCCGGAGCAGAAGAAACATTTCGCTCCTGTAGAATTCGTCCATACTGTTCTCTATTGAAAACGGCTGGGCTTTCATAGCTCAGAAGCTGCCATGAGTAATATATTAATACCTGATGTAGGGTGCGAAGGAGCCTCAGAGGGCGAGAGAGTGGCTGCTGCTGAGGCGGCGGGGCGGCAGGCTGTGGCCGGGCTTTCCTTCCGAGGCCCAGAATTGATGACTGTAGCTGGGGTTAGGGGACATGGAGGGCTGAGGGGCCCAACCTCCACCTAAGCTTGGGGCTGTGGAGCTGGGATTGAGCCCTGCCTCCAGTCTGCCCTGGGGTAAGGAGTCCGGGAAGGATGGACCTGGAGGGAGCGTTTGCTTTGATCTCAGGTGGTTAGCACGTGCCGGGCTGTGTGGTAGGCTCTGGGTTTTTTGCCTTGACGTTAGAGGAAGGGACCTTACCTTCTGGTTCATGTGGGATGAGGAGTGCCATGTCAAAAGTGACGCTACCTTTGTATAGACCTTAAGTCATTCTTCAGCATTTCTCTGGGAACAGGTGTCACTAAACAAGGGTCAGGAAGGTCTCTTCATACGGTCAGCTTCTTCCCTGGGGCTTCTGTGAATGGGAAGAGCGGGGACCCATTTCAGGGTGGCACGTGGGCTGTAGTGTCTGCAGCCCTGAATGGTCATGTCCCCTTGCTGCGGCCTCCCGGACACACCTCCTACTCACTTCCTAGAAGGAAGGTCGGGGCCCTACACAGATTGCCTCCACCGTGACTCCCTGTATTACTGTCGGGGATGAGGATGTCGTTCCTGGGGCAAGGAGATGATGCCATGAGTAGCTGTCAGGTGTCTCGTAGCTGATGCCCGATGAGCACCTGCTTGGGGCTGGTGCTGTTTTACGCACTCACCACATAGGTGTCAGCACAGCCCTGCAGGTGGGCTCTGCCTCTGGAGGAACTGGGGGTAGGGTGAAATGGGCCACCTGCTGTCCCCTGCGCCTCCAGTCTCAAAGTCTAGCTCCTCTCCGTGCCTCTGCTTCTGGGCCTGTGGTGATCTGGAAGCTGAAGTTCAGCTTGTCGAGGTGCTTGGGCGAACACAGCCTCTTTGAGAAGAGGACAAGTTGGAATACCTTTCTAGCTTCGTGTCCTTAGACTTTTTCGTGCCGTGCTGACTGTTCCTTGGAGCTGTTGGAGGCGTGTTTCGGAGGGGTCTGGGAAGTACTTCTGGCTTTCTCATGCTGTCTTGTGTTAAGTGTGGCGCTGCAGAACTGAAAGACGTCGTGTTCTTCTCTCAAGAAGCCCCCAGGGCCCCTGGAGGGAGGTGGGGGTGATGGAAGGGAGCCGGTGCTCAGAGTCCACTTCAGTCAGAGCAGCTTTTAGTGTTTGCTGTTCAGTCTGTTGATTACCTTGGAAGATTTTACAGCAAGAAGGCATTTGAAGACCAAAAACTTTGAAGAATTACCAGGTTAATCTACTCTTACGATACCAAGCCAGAAACCTTAAAGAAAATCTTCACAGATTTAATAGGATAAGAGTGTTTTAAAATCTCTTTGGCAAAAGACTCCATAAGCCAGGCTAAGAGGCAACAGGAGAAAAA